TTGGTCCCCGACCGTTAAAATTGACGAAAATATTAAAAAAATATTTAAAATTTAGGGTTAAAGTAGGAAATTCTCATTTTATTTGCTTTCTTATATCAAAAACACTTTCAGAACATTATTTTTTTTCACTTCTTAGTCTCTTATTTCAAGATTGTTCAATTCTAAAAGCATTTCAATAACTTTAGTATGACTTGTTATGAACTTGGCTCTAGTATAACAAACTTAAGACTTAGCACAAATAAAGAAACACTTATCATTGTCTTCAGAGTTCAGACGTGTGAAACAGACTATCCTATCAATTTTCAATTTTTTTACTAAGCAATAAAGGAAATCAAACCAAAACTTTTGAGATACCAAATGATGTCAAATTTCTCAGTTTGCTTTTATGAAAAATTCACCAACGGAATGACTTGAGAATTTTAGTATGTAAAATTTTTTCATATGCAGTAGTTTCGTCAATAATCGTTTTTAGAAGTTACAAAAGTTTTTAAAATTTTCATAATTGAGTCTTAGGTTTCTCATTCATTACTGTGATTTTTAAGAAGACTGAGGAGGCGATGGATATATATATATATATATATATATATAATTTTCATATATTGTTAGGATATACGATTCTTGATTAAGTTACTACAAAATTTACGAAAGAATTTTACGTACTAAAAATCTCAAGTTACTCCCTTAGTGAATTTTCATAAAAATAACCTGAGAAATTTGATATCTTCTTGTATTTCAAAAGTTATGATTTGATTACCATTATGTTTAGTAAGGGAAATCAGAAACTTTTAGGATGATGTGTTTTATATGCTTGATGACAATGATCAAGTGTTCTCTTGTTTGTACTAAGTCACATGTTCCTTATACGAGACTCAAGTTACTAACAAGTCATACGAAAATTATTGAATTGCCTTTAGAATTGAAGAACCTTAGAAATAGAATGCTAGGAAGTTGAAACTAATGGTGCAAAAGTGATTTCAATATAAGAAAGAAAATAAAATGTGAATTTACTACTTTATCCTTAAAATTTTAAATATTTTTTAATTTTTTCATTAGTTTTAACGGTTAGGGACCAAATGCGCCACTTTGCTCATAATTCAGGGACTAAAAACGGATACGGTCATAACTCAGGGACTGAGTCATCACTACCATTATAACTCAAGGACCAAACTCGCAATTTTTCCTATTATTATTGTTATTGTTATGAGTAAATACCACCTATGACCCCTCGAGTTTGGTGGCATCGCCATCAATGGTCCCTAACTTCCGTAATTACCATCCGTCATCCTCCGAGTTGTCAAAAGTTACCTTCTAGCATCCTTCCGTTACTTCCTCCCGTCTCAGCCGTCAAAATGGAGGGTAATATTGTCATTTGACTTATACGAAAAGAGTTAATACCAACCAAGGTCCCTCGAGTTTGGTGATTTGGCCATCTTTAGTCCCAAATTTCCATATTCCATTATTTTTCTTCTGTCATATTCTCTTCTTCAAATGTATTATTATTACTATTATTTATAGTTATTATTAAATTCTTATTATTATTACTATTATTTAAAGTTATTATTGTTATTATTAAATTATTATAATTATTATTATTGTTATTGTTATTATTATATTATTAGCATTAAATTATTATTATTATTATTATTATTATTGTTATTATTATTATTATATTATTATTATTATTATTGGTGGTTTGACCATCTTTAGTCCCAAACTTGGCTAAACAATATTAAAGAAAGTTGGTGGTTTCTCAACTTCCAACTCGAACTCCCTCTTCTCCTATACAATATTAAAGAAAATTTACAAATGTATAGGGGCCGTTTACTTCATTTATCTGTTTTTCCATTTCCAGTTTTTCATTTCTCCATTTCTCCAATTTTCTTTCTCCATTTCTCAAGTTTTCTTTCTCCATTTTTTCAATTTTCCATTTTTCCATTCCTCCAGATTTTTATTTCTCTAATTTTCTGATTTTTATTTCTCTATTTTTCTGATTTCATTAAATACACGCATCCTATATAGCATTTGCACATTTCTACAACAACAACAACAATATTAATAATAATTTAATAATTTAATAATTTAATAATAATAATAATAACAATAAAATAATAGTAGTAATAATAATAATTTAGTAATAATAACAATAACAATAACAATAATAATATGAATATAATAATAATAATAATAATAATAATAATAATAATAGCATTTGTACATTTCTACAACAACAAAAACAACAACAACAACAACAACAATAACAATAATAATAATAATAGTAATAATAATTTAAACAAATAATAATAACAATAAATAATAATAATTTAATAATAACAATAACAATAATAATAATAATATGAATAATAATAATAATAATAATAATAATAATAACAACAACAACAACAACAACAACAATAATAATAATAATAATTTAATGCTAATAATATAATAATAACAATAACAACAATAATAATAATTTAATAACAATAATAATAATAATTTAATAACAATGATAATTTAATAATAACAATAATAACTTTAAATAATAGTAATAATAATAAGAATTTAATAATAACTATAAATAATAGTAATAATAATAAATTTGAAGAAGAGAACATGAAAGAAGGAAAATAATGGAATGTGGAAATTTGGGACTAAAGATGGCCAAACCACCAAACTCGAGGGACCTTGGCTGGTATTAACTCTTTTAGTATAAGTCAAATGACAATATTACCCTCCATTTTGACGGCTGAGACAGGAGGAAGTAACGGAAGGATGCTAGAAGGTAACTTTTGACAACTCGGAGGATGACGGATGGTAATTACGGAAGTTAGGAACCATTGATGGCGATGCCACCAAACTCGAGGGACCATAGGTGGTATTTACTCTTATTGTTATTGTAAGTGCTGTTATTATTATTATTATTATTATTATTATTGTTGTTGTTGTTGTTATTATTATTATAGAAAGAGAAATTAAAACATTAAAAAAATAAAAAATTGAGGAATGAAAAATGAAAATTAAAAAATTAGAGAAATGAAAAATTGAAGAAATAAAAAAGAAAAATTAAAAAATTGAAAAAATAAGGGGAAATAGAGAAACAAAAAATAAAGTAAACAACCCATATTTTTTCTAAAAAAGAAAAAAATATATGGTGACATGGTGTCAGCATCTGGATCTGAAATCAAAGGAAAAATCCAAAAATAAAAATGAAAAAGAAAATAATTTCTAGATTCCTCAAAGAATCTCCCCCACATTTGCTCGTTGTATTCGAAGCCAAGAGACAGGGAGAGAGAGCCTCCCAACCATTTCTCTGCTCTCCTCATATCTCTTCTTTCTCTGCTGACTCTTCGGAGGAATTCAAGTAAGTTCATCACACTTTCCCAAAAACTTCACCCAAAAAAAAATAAATAAAAAAAATCACAATTTCAATCTCCTCTTTAGATAGATTAATTTAGGAAATCTGGGTCTAAATTGAGCTCTTTTGCATCACTGATATCTCAATTCTTTATGCCTGCATTGTATATCTGCATCTGGTATAAAGAGGGTTAATAATCTGATGAAAGTTGGGATTTTTTTCTTCTTCTTTTCTTTCCTAATTTCATTCTTTAACTTCAGTTTTTCTTGAATCTTTTGAGTTTTTGTAGATTTTTGCTTTCTTTTAATACGTGAAAAGCTTGGATCTTGGATTTCTGTAGAGATGTTTTCTTGATGTGAAATGTTCTGATAGTCTTTAATGGCTTCTTGGAGTCTGGAACATTGAGCACATTGTGAGTTGTTTGAATTAGGTTTCTGTGGTCTCCTTAATGGTTTCATTGTTTTGCTTGAAAGCCCTGAAATGCAAATGATTTATTTTAGTTGTTTCATTCTTGATTCCCAGTAGGTAGGTACTTGATTGACTGTGTGGTTAATTTTGCTCTAGTTGTTATTGTAGGGTTCAATTCACAGTAAAAATGAAAAAATTACAGTTCATGTTAGATGGATGACTGTCCAATCCCGCCCCGAAATTTCAGGCTTGGAAAGTGTTAAGAGACTTGTGAGAAATGAACGGTTTCAGGCTCGGGTTAATTGGGAAACTGTGATAACGGTGGGAAGTTTGCTCTCGGCTATTATGTGGAAATCCATTTCGAGTGCTATTGCGGGGTTTGGACAGAAGAAGGACTGTGGTGAGGCGAGGCGGGCTTGTGATGAATTCTCGGACGATGATGATGAGATATGTTCTAATGATGAAGGCCTAGAATGCCCGATATGTTGGGAATCTTTTAACATTGTCGAGAATGTGCCCTATGTGTTATGGTGTGGCCACACCATCTGCAAGAATTGTCTCTTGGGGCTAAAGTGGGCTTCTTTGAAGATCTCGACACAACAAATTCAGGTCCCGTTGTTCGTCTCGTGCCCGTGGTGCAATTTGCTGACATTCCGGCTCGTTTACAAGGGAAATCTCAGAATCCCGAGCAAGAACTTCTTCCTGCTATGGATGGTGGAGAGCAGAAACGGGGATCGAGTCAAGTCTCCTTTGTGCACCGACCACCAACACGCGTGGCCCCCGAGGTGCCCTTCGGCTGTCGAGAACATCCCCGCCAATGTGAACCACCGGAGGCCCCATTTTTCCCTTCACAAATCCCTCGATTTCTTCCTCCGCTTTACGTCCAAGTTCCCACTCGTCATCGTCCTCCTCCTCCTCGTCATATTCGCTATCCCTTCCAGTGCCGCCATCCTCGTCGTATACTTGGTCATCACGATCGTCTTTGCGGTCCCGTCTTTTCTAGTACTGTACTTTGCATATCCCGCCTTGCATTGGCTAGTGAAAGAGATAACCGGTTGAATGGTTTCAACATATCTCGTTCAGATTTGTACTCTTTTTAGTCTTTCCTGGTGTACAGAGATCATAAACCGTAATCTCAGCTCTCCTCGATTATCAATTTCATCTCAGTTTGTATCAAGGATGCTGTAAATATATGTTTCTTGGAATGAAGTCCATGTTTAGTCTCTATTTGGAGGCTTTCTATACCGTTCTTGATTCCGAGATTTTTCAGAAAAACATGATATAACTGTTTCTTTTAATCTCTTACTAAAACAAACAAACATTAGTAACTGTTCCCTCATACATAATTGGTTTACTACTTACCTAAAACCTAGGACTATGAAACTAAACTAAACTAAACTAAACTGTCTAAACCTAAGAAACAGTGAACAGGTTGTTGTTTCTATGCACAAGCAGGGGCCTTGAATCCTTTGATATTGGCGAAGACAATGGAGTAAGGGGCGACATTGATAGGCTTGGAAGGATCAACGAGCCTTGGGTTCATGGCGGGAATACGAGAGCCGTTGGTGATCTTCAACGGGGTTCCATTTAGCAGGACAACGTCGGTCTGGATGTTCCCGCCTTCCGGTGTCAAGTGGTACTCTTCTCGCTCGGGCTCATTCTCGAGGTGAAGAAGGCGGCGTCGAGCGCTTGCATAGTACAGATTCATGTCGTTCCTGGTATGGACCCTAAAGTTTGTCGAGTTTGACATGTTGATCAGGAGCACAGCAATCCCGCCCTGAAGCAATCAGATGATTCGGGACATCAGAAACCACTCAAACCGGGTATGTGAACGAAAACTATGATGTTTTTCGCAGAAAACTATGATGTTTTTCGCAGAAAACTATGATGTTTTTCGCAGAAAACTATGATGTTTTTCGCAGAAAACTGTGATGTTTTTAGCAGAAAACTGTGATGTTTTTAGCAGAAAACTGTGATGTTTTTAGCAGAAAACTGTGATGTTTTTAGCAGAAAACTGTGATGTTTTTAGCAGAAAACTGTGATGTTTTTAGCAGAAAACTATGAAGCTTACTCCGTGTTTAGAACAGTGAGCATAGGTGCGAAGGTATGGGGAGCTGTCGTGGGACACAGCCAGCACTTTCTTGCCCATCAACCGATTCCACAAGAGGGCTCCATAGTAATCTGGGTTCGGGATGAAGGTTGTCGTGTTGAGGAGAGCGTAGTTCCCTCCGATCAGGGCTTGTCTGCAGAACACTTTGTGGTTGAAAGTTGCTGTCATTCCCAGTTGATCCAAGTACCTGATCGACGAGATTGGTGATGTTTGGGTAGCTTAATTCGCTTACACTCGAAAGATAGACGAGGAAAGGCAGAAAGAAAGGTTTTTTACCAGAAGCCGTCGGCGAAGTAGTGAGAAACATGCTTGCCACCACTGTTGAAAGCACCACCAGCCTCTCCCACCCAAGCACCAGACCATGGCCCAAACCTCTGAACACTGCTGGAAACATCCTTGTAGGTTTGTGCAATCTGATCAAGATAAAATGGATCTTGAATCTTATGAATCAGGTCCTTATCATCACCTGCAAATGTAACAAAAACAACATGAATCTCTTAGGTGTAACCCTAACCAAGTTGGTTGAACTCTTGAAACAAATGGCTCCTTGTGGTCTTTTGCCGATTAGGGCCACAAGGCTGTCAGTCAGCTACGAGCAACCTAGACTGGTTTGTCCAGTTACTTCATTGTGGTCCTTTGTCGACTAGGGTCACAAAGCTGCCAATCAGCTACCAGTTACGGGCAACATAGGTTGGTTTGCCCAGTTTACCTCCCTCCTTGTGGTCCTTTGCCGACTAGAGTCACAAGGCTGCCGATCAGCTACGGGCACGGGCAACCTAGACTGGTTTGTCTAGTTACCTCATTGTGGTCCTTTGCTCACTAGGGTTAAAAAGCTGCTGGTGGGCAACCTAGGCTGGTTTGCTAAATTTACCTCGTTGTGGTACCTTTACCGGTTAAAGTCATAAGGTTGCCGGTCAGCTACAGGCAATCTAGGCTGGTTTGCCCAATTTACTAGTTGTGGTCCTCACAAGGCTGCCGGTGAGCTATGGGCAACTTAGGTTAGTTTGTCCAGTTTACCTCGTTGTGGTCTTTTACCAGTTAAAGTCACAAGGATGCCGGTCAGCTATGGGCAACCTAGGCTGGTTTGTCTTGTCCAGTTTACCTCATTGCGGTCCTTTATCCCATGCACACCCTTAGGTAGTGCCTGTGGGGCCATTCGTCACTCTAAACAGCCTCCAATTTCTTATCATAATCATGGCTTGTGTTACATACCTGAACCAAGATTGTAGATATGGTGGGTCAAACCATCAACAACGTTAGCACCTGATGTCTGAAGGAAGGTATTGAACCACTTTTCATCGTAGAATCCTCCAGGACCCAACACTTTTGGTCGGGTGGTTGGGTTGGGGTGGACTTCTTCCACAATGTTTTTGAGAGCCACAATATCTTTCCCATATTGTTCTGCCTCCACTCTTGCAGACACTCCACTTCCAGTCAGCTCATTCCCTACAACATAATTTAACCTTACAGAACTAAAAGATGCGTTTATGTTTCATTTCAACTAAAAATCGTGCAGAATATTACAAACCGAGTTCATATGATTCAACTTTGTATCCCTTTGATACCGTGTACTCCATAAGATCGCATGCATTTTGTGGGTTCCAATCACCCACCCAAAGGGTACCATCTTCCTTAAACTTTCGCCTTCCGAATAGAGCATTCAACCCGAATGTCACAACGGCCCTGAAATTGAGCGGAATTCGAATTAGTCTTATAGTGGTAAAAATACCTGATTAATGCGGGAATTCCGATAATTTACCCAGTTTCATTGAACATTTTGTGCAGCTCATCCCATCTAGACATGTTAAGACAACCTTGGGAGAACCCAAACATGCCACCTTCTGTTCTTTTGAAATCTGTGCAGTTTTTCACTGCATACCCAACCTTGTATAGAACTTGGTCCTCCAATGAACCTCCCACTCTCAACCTAAGACGATCGAATTCTGTTACAGTGACAAGCAAAAACAACTATTAAGAAGATTGCTCAAGTCAATAGTAAAATTGTACATTTATTATTTATATAAAATATTGTAATAGTGACAAGCAAAAACAACTCTCCAAAGAGTAGTACGACTGCACATTTATTATTAAGGAAAAGGGTCAAATAGTACTTCAATTAGGTTCTTAAACCTTTTAAAGTTGCAATTAAACTCATCAGCATCTCATTTTAATGCAAACAAAGTCCAAAATCAATTAGTGACATTATATTACAGGTCACTAGGGTTCCAGTCAACATTCCAACAGCAACAAATCAAACAGTTGCCAGCCGATTTGTTGCCAGAAATGAGTCAGAGTTTGCAGAATGTTGACCGGGACCCTAGTGACCTAATTGGTTTTTGGGCTTTATTGTACTAAAATGAGATGTGGATGAGTTTAGTTTAAGGGTCTAATTAACTTTTTAGGTAAAATTTGAAGGATTATTTGATCATTTTTCCTATTATTTATATAAAATGGTGTGACATTGACAGCTAAAACAACTATCAAGAGAGTTGCAGCTCGAACTTATATATACGTTTATTATTATTTATATAATAATAAAGCATCCCAGATTATGAGTGGGAAACCTTATTACCTTTGATGGCATTTATGAGAATTTGGTTCTCCAGATCCTGCAAATTTTTATCCAACGTTAGAAAGATCGAAAGGAAGAATTAAGAAGAAGAAGAAAGCTTATTATGATGAAAACATGTTGATATATACTAGATTGAGGAGGCCAGCTTTTCCCCAGGGGCACTGGTTGTAGTTGCACTTAGTCTCCGGCCACCAGTCCATGGTGGCGCAGACGAAGTTATCGTCCGTCTCGGCGACGGTGGTGACGCCTCTCACCGTCAGCTTCACCGGAACAGCCAGGCAGCTGAGACTGAACAGCAACGAGGATGCAAGAAGAAAGCAGCACAACGACGACATCCTCGTTGCAGAAGAAGGCGCCATTGTTAAGTTGTTGTTTCGGAGAAAACGAGGGATATGATAATAATCTGAGAATTATTGAAGAATGGGTTTAGATCTGCGTAGGTGAGTAATGTATATATAAGGCTTTATGTGTGAGAGTTTGTGCAGGACTAGAGTACCATTACTTCAAGGATTTCTATCATTCAATGTGCACTGAAATACTCACGATTCTTTACGAGGTATTATCTATTATATACTTTCTCAATCTTTTTAGTTTAAATAATCAATGCCTCCACCACAAGGGTTTGTGAGTCTGTGACCACCCATTTGAAATGGTAACAGATGTGTCATTACACTACATAGTAGTTGGCTCTATGTGATATTTTCAATAACAAAAACAACTAATGGGGGTTTTGAGTAAAATTAGGAGTGGTTTAATGATTACAAAAGTGTGAATTAGGACAAGAATACAACTCAAAATCTAAAGACTTTAGTATTGTTTTACCCTAATTAGTCTTATCTTCCATTTACCGGAAAATATACTGCTGCTACCGAGAATATAATGTTAATAGCAGATAAGCTCAAACCAAAAAGGTCAATAAGGAGCTCCAGAAAGTCTAGCTAACTCTAAACCTGGTGGTTACTAAGTCAATTGTTCAATCAAAGCGGCCGGAGTTACCCATAATTAGTCTTATTTCTAATCACAAGGATTGATAATCAATTAATCATAGGTTTACAAGGATTTAGCATTGGATGGTTCATAGGGCAGATTTTAATTTGATAATCATAGGGTTGTAATTAAGGATTTAGTATATATAAAATTGGGATTAAGTTAGGAATCTAATAATAAAAGTCTATGTGTCTCTCTAACCTCTTTTTGGTCTTGAAAAGATATTGTTTAAAGATCGGTTTGGCCTTTCTAAACTACGGAGGGTGGGGGACAGTTATACATAATTTTTGCTTTCTTTCCGGGTTTCACTTGTCCTATTGATTCCAAGAAACAAAGGTTGGCTTCTAATCCCTTGAATAAATGACTCATTATCTAATCATATATATAAGAATAAGCGACAAGTTAAGGTTAATGGGGCCGGAGGATAGGGTGAGAACACACGTTTTAAGTGTGAATGTGTACCACAAATCTACTAAGTGTATATTATGACTAGTTTTAAATGCGCATTGCGCGAATGGGTTAATGCCCAATGTTTATAATTAAATAAATAATTGAAAGTATATCAATG